CCCCAAAACCCCAAAACCCCAAAACCCCAAAACCCCTCAACAATAAATTTTGATAGAATAATAAAATTTAACTCTTAGGAACATATAAAATGCAAGAGGTTGCTGTTACTAGAGACTCTGCAGGAAGTAATTTAACTCAGATGCACAATGAGAGGAAAAGTAAGACTCTTTAATTCGCCATACCTTTTTCTCAATAAAACCTATTGGTTTGCAAGTCTCTCTCTGAAATCATGAGAAATTTCACCTTGAAATATTTTACCCTTTCTAATCACATTTACATAGATAATGATGAATGGGGTAAACTTGTTCATCTCCAAGCTGACATGGAAAAGGGTAAGTCAACTCACAAAATAATCCTTAGAAAGTGTCAAAAGAATGAAAGCTCAGAATGACGATATTATGAAGCAGTTGCGATACGAAAATGGAATGATCAACAGGGCTAAAATGGAGAGGGAGAGAAATCTTCGCTCATTAGACCACTCTATCGATAAAGATGAAGCTAAAGACCCCAAAAATGTTAACCTCTTACCATTCATAGACGACTCAAGAGTTAAGACTCGTAAAGAGTACATGAAGTCGCTTCGCAAAGAGAATAATGAGTTAAACATTGAGAAGATGAACCTTAAAGAATATCAGAATAAAATGAAGTTGATTGACAGAGAGAATCAAGACAAGTTCACCAAAGTTACAAAGAATATGGAGCATTTGATCAACAAAAAGAATAAGATGGAGAGTATTGAGATGGCTAACTTTTGGAAAAAGCAGCAACAAGATTCACAAAAAGCTAGAGAAATGGAAAAAGTTAAAGATATCGAAGATGGCAAGAAGTATTTCAAATGGGTCAATGATTTTGCAGAGAATTATAATCATGAAAGATTCAAGATCTATGAGAAAGGAGATAAAACTTCTTCTATATCCCCTCATAATAAGAATCGCAAGTTTTGCCTCAATTCTGCGAATTCAAACGAATTAGGATCGAGTAATTACTCAAATAACGCAAATGGATATAATCAGAAGAACCAAGATAGCAATATATCAATCCGTACTGGGTCTGATGCTGTATATGAAGATGTATTCAAATAACGATTATACCAGTGGCAAGGTTCTCAGAGAGAAATTTAAACATAAATACATCGAAGATCTCAACCAGCAACTAGAAGAGAAAAAGCTTAGAAAACAAAGAGAAAAGCTAATGGATCCTAGAGAAAAGATAATGAACCAGAAATATATGACTGATCTTGCCAATGGAAAGAATGCCAATCCTAATCCAATACTTAGCAATAGTAATCTGAAGATGAAGCTAGATAGGAATGTAAAGTATCTTCTAATTTTTTAGAACAGCCGCGGCCTAATGACTCTGGATAACAGTATAATGTACTCCCCTAACACTCCTCTTGATGGTAAGGAATACCATAATTTTTAGGTTATACCAACAGTTCGCATCTAGTCCTTCCTAAGTAATAACAGAGTTTATAATATTTATAGTCGATCTAAATCGAATATCCGCATAAATAATTTTGATACTATAACCCCAGGAAACTCAACAGGAAGGAAAGACAACTTGAGCAGAATTGCCTTGCCTCAGAGAAAACTGATCATGAACACTGGCAACAATGTCTTAGGAAATGGATCGATTCATTCTTCCCAAGTTGACAGGAAAATAGATAGAGATTCACTTAAAAATTATCAGGCTAAGAATAGGAGGAGTAGCAATCAAACTTTCGATAGTTTTGGAAGGCTAGGTTTCAAAGATAACACAAAGAACGACCCTAGTTTTAACGCTCATTATGAGTACAATTTAAGAAAGGTAGGTTTGCTCTAATGCCTAGTCTCCAATCGGAAGGAGTTTAAACAACTCTGTGGATAATATACGAATTAATGATTTGAAAATCAATAATCCTACTATGAGAAACAAAGTGCAAATTTCTAAGAGGTAATAATCTCAAATTTCCTTCTCTAATTCCTCTGTAGAGCTAGTGTAGAGGAAATGATCAAGAACAGGCCTCAAGTGGACAACATTTCCAACCTAGTATTTTGCCAAAAACAATAGTCAATAATAATTTTTAAAAACGGGGTTTTGGGGTTTTGGGGTTTTGGGG